AGCAGCAAAATTTTGGGTCTGTGGCCAGTGGATCACAGGAGGGGTTGTTTACGGAGAAGCCTTCCTCGCAACCACGAAGCCTGTCAGGGCACGCACAGAGGCCCTGTTACAAGAGCTTACACGTCAGGTGGTCCACCTCACTGGACCACGTTTTGTGGCAGGAGACTTCAATCAGGAAATGCATCATTTGCAAGAGGTTGACCTGTGGAAACGGCAAGGCTTCATAGATCTCCAAGATCTCGCTTGCATCAAGTGGAACCTCACCCCTGCAGCCACATGCAAGGGTTCCACACGCAAGGATTTTGTTTTCATCTCTCCTGAGTTGCGTGATCTCTTGCTGGCGGTTCGTCTCGACAATGAGGCCTTCCCAGATCACGCCATATTGTCAGGAAGCTTTCGCCCCTTGTGCCAACCAGAAAAGGTCCGGATCTGGCGACGCCCGCAGCCATTCGCGGTTCCCCCAGAGGTCCAGAAGTCTCTTAGTCACTCTGACATGGCCTTTCATGTGAGTGCCAGTGACCCGACCGAGGTCTATCATGAATTGTGCCACCAGTATGAACAAGCCCTTCGTGCAGAATGCCTCTCCAAAGGCCAAGCTGGCCCCCGTCCTTGCCAGTTAGGTCGAGGCCAATCCACCCACTTGTCGACAGTAGTGAGCGACCGATGCCCGATCAAGTCTTCCAGGTTGGGTGAGAGAGTGCCAGCGGTAAACATCGAATCACTGATGTACAGGAGATGCTTTACGCAGCTTCGTCGCTTGGTGAACTTTGCTCGTATGAAAGAACATGGTGCCTCCCCGAATGCAGCAATCCATCGTTTGTCACTGTGGTCCGCCATTTGTCAAGCACCTTTTGAGGGGTCTTTCTCTAAGTGGTGGGCGCGGAACCTCACGGACCCAGCACACTGCCAATTCCCACAGCATATCCCTCCTCAGGCAATTGCCAAGCAATTGGCCAGTGACTTCGAAAGCTTTGTGTGCAGGCTGGAACAGGACCTCATAGCTTCCAGAAGGGCAGCCGCGCAGAAAAGGCGACAGACTGATGCCAACCGGGTCTTTCGTGACATTCGAGCGCCGGGACCTGAACCCATCTCTTCTTTGGCACAGTGCCGGGAAGCTAAAGTCACGTCCATAGAGGCCGAAGACTCGTTTTGTTTTGAACCTCGATGTGCCTTTGACGCCCAAATGCAGTTGTCTCACGCCCAAGGGCACTGCAGTCTGGTAGAATGTGAGGATGGCCAAGCTTGGGTCTCTGGACCTCTGCCGGAAGTCGGAGGGGTGGTTTACCAGCACGGCTTTCTGGGTTCCTTGCAGACGTTGCATAGTGAATTTGAGTCCGCGTGGGCCAAACGTTGGAATAAGCATGATGAGGTGCCCCCTGATTTTTGGGATCGAGTAGGCGCAGTCATTTCCAGACTCTTTAGTCCTCTCCCGTCAAGCCGCCTTGTGATTACTGTCGACATGTTCCGAGCGTTCGTTCGGTCTCGGAAGCCTCGAAGTGCGGTATAGGAGTTGATGGCATGAGTCGCATTGACATGCTCAGCCTTCCCGACAGTGGAGTGACCCAGCTCTTGGCCATTTATTCCACGGCCGAACAGTCTGGTTTCTGGCCAATTCAACTTCGGCACGGGGTGGTTCACAGTCTGCAGAAGACTGAGCAGGCGTGTTCGGTCAATGACTACCGCCCCATCACCATCTATCCTTTTCCATACCGGGTTTGGTCCTCCCTCCAATCGAAACACGCCCTTAGCTTCGTTAGCAGGCATGCTCCGCCCGGTCTCCAGGGCAACCGCCTGGGTGCTTCTACGATCGCCATTTGGTGGAAAAATCCAGCGATGATTGAGTCCCTGATGTTCGATGGGGCCCCGGCTCAAGGGTACGTATTAGACCTGACCAAGGCTTTCAACACCTTGCCCAGGGAGCCGGTGTTTCGAGCTGCGGTGTTTCTTGGCCTGGATGGAGGCCTCATTCGAGCCTGGATGGGTTTCCTTGTCACCAATACTCGGCACTTCTGCATTCGCCAAGCCCTGAGTGAGGGATTGCAGGGGTCAAGGGGCTTCCCCGAGGGATGTGGAATGAGTGTTGTAGCCATGGCAATAATAGATTGGATTGTTGATAGATGGTTTCATCTTTTGTGGCCACAAGTGACCTTCTCCTCCTATGTTGACAATTGGGAGCTTGAATCCAGTTCGGTTGACGACCTTGCACGAAGCCTACCTACTCTCGCAACCATTTGTAGTTTGTTGGACCTGGAGTTGGACCAGGACAAAACCTTTGGGTGGGCACTGCTGCCTGAGCATCGAGCAGCGATCAGAGGAACGGGGTGCCCAACGCACTTGGATGGCCGCAATCTAGGCGGTCACATGCAGTACTCTCATCGTAGGACGAACTACACGGTGACTGCCAAATGTCGCCAGCTCGACACCTTGTGGGGCAGACTCGCCCGCAGCCCTGCTACTGCCCCTCAGAAGCTGAGAGCTGCCAGATGCTGCGCGTGGCCCAGGGCTCTCCATGGTGTGGCCACGGTGTCACTCGGCGCGCAGCACTTTCAGAAAATGTGCGCAGGTTTGTTCCAGGCCCTTCGCTTCCGTAACAAGGGGGCGCAGCCCCAGTTGCAATATTTGATGGAGAAACCCACTACTGACCCGGAATATTTTGCTCTCGAGCAGACTGCCTTGGCATTTTGCAAGTTTAGTGATCCTGACCAGCAGACAGCAGTACTTGAAGTTCTCCAGGACCACCAGCCTTTGAAGCACATCCCCGGGCCCTGCGGAGTGCTCTTGGATCGACTGAATGTCATCGGATGGGTCTGGTCACATGGTTTCACGTTTCGCACAAGGCAGAACACTCTGTGTGATCTGGCGACCATTTCGCCGCAGGAACTTAAGTTGTGGCTTCAGCTTGACTGGCACACCACCGTCGGGTTGCGGTGGGAGCACAGGCAGGGCTATGCAGGCCTTCAGAATGTTTGTCCCTGGGTGGCCATTTCCAGCATCGCCACATTTCCTAAGGAACATAAAGGCTTGCTGCGTTCGCTGCTTAACGGATCCTTCATCATCCTCAAGCACAAAGGAGCCGAACTTGACAGTCCTGTTTGTCCCTGGTGTTCCCAGCCTGACTCCTTAGAACACCGGCATTGGCAGTGTCCAGCAACGGAAGCTTCCAGGGCGTTTTCGCCTCTGGACTGATAATGAAGAAGTGTGGACAAAGGGGGTCACGGCTTCTTGATGGGGCCTGGTCCCCGAGACCGGGGAGTACTGACTGTGATTTATGGAACACGGTCGCACTTCTCATGGCCCAGGTCTCCGATCGTGTGGTTCTTCTAAAAGTGACCTCCCATGTTGATCCCACCAACTATACTTGTGCGGAGCAATTTGTGTTGAGTGGCAATGAGTGGGCAGACCGTTGGGCTAGCTATGCTTTGTGCCAAATGCCAGCCTGGATTCGCCAGCTATCCAGTCAGGCGCGACAAGAAGTTGACCTTCTTCGCGAAGGCACTGAAGCCGCGCATGCTCACTTCGTCAGGGTAGGTTTGACTGCACTGCAAGTCAAATCGCCTCACCAGTCACCTCCTGCCCGACCTCTCCGATGTCAGTATGAGCATGATACCTTGGATACCATCGCATTTAGCAGATGGCTACGTTGGCACTCGCCTGACAAGCTCCGCTTTCGCGGCCTTGATCGGATCATCACCTTTTGGGAAGGGTTGTCGGATCCTCATGCACCACCTCTGTTGTATGCATGGCATGAGCTGTACATCGCCTGGCAGTTGCAATCGGGATTGATTGGGGTCTCTCGGCATCGGTCAGGATGGCGAATCCAAGAAGACAGCAGCCAGTTCGATTTCCCTGCTTGCTGCAAGAGTTGGGCAACATATAGTCAGTGTTGCATTCGAGCTTGGAACCCAAAATGGAGGTCCATCCACGGCCGGCCTTCCAACCCGGCCTACATCGGATGGACAGGTTGCCTCCGCCTGAAAGTCGCCCCACATGTGCGCGACTCCATCCTCGATTTCTTTCGCACCAACTCACTGCGAGCCATTAAGAGTGATGTGATCCGTTTTGCACGACTCGGTCCGGCCTTTGACCAGCCGGGTCTTGACGCTTGAGCCTCTTCGCTTGGTTGCGCCCCGTCGTCCGAACGACTCTGACACGGAGCCTGCGAGAAAAAGTGCGTTGAAAAAGTGAGTCGTTTCAGAGGTTCGATGGCACTGGCACCGCATGATGTCCTGGAACACATGGAGGTTCAATTTCAACCAGCGACATTGGGGTCTGTGTCATCTACTCTCATTCCTATAAATATTCCGGATGGCCTACTATACCCCTTAACATGTGGTTTCTGGGCACCTGTTGTCACGAGGAAACATGGATCGAACGGAGGGAGTAGCACCTCCCACCATCCAGGTTCTGTGTCCTGGCTGGACATCTCAGGTCGTAGTGGGCTGGGTAGTCCAGCCAGGACACCCATTAGATAGGATGGTCCTACTATCTGAATGGCCGAAAGTGGAAGGCCAGGGCCTGTCCAGGCGATGGTGGAAGAAACGCTGTCCGTTGTAGGGCTTTCTAGGCGAAGGTTTGGACCAACGGACAGCGTTTGGGAAGAGTTACTATCGATCCACAGACCTTCTCAGGTTCGGTACGACTGGACCCTCCAGCCCTCTACATAACAGCGGAGACAACACATCACCGTACCTGAGAAGGTACGAAAACGGATCCCTATATAGGGTATATGTCCTCTTGTGACTGGGGATGCCCACTTACTCGAGCAACCCGGCAAAATCTTGCATGCAAGCGCTCTGAGCAAGGTAATCATGTGCACCTTGGTTTCACACCAGGAAGCCGATCACCGCAACTGTTGTTGTGACAGAACATGACGATCTGCCTTTTGTCAACTATCATTGCCTGCAGTGCATGGTGTTCTTCCGTGTTTTGGGCGCCCAAAGCCGCTCACCGCGCGTTCGCGCCCACAACACCGCTCCAACACCGCGTTCGCGCCGACCGAGGAGTAAGACGCCCTGCAAGTGTTTGCCCAGCGTCTTCCACCTCACCAGCCCAGTGCTGTGCGACCTACTACCTGCAGCCTGCCCCAAGGTGAGGACCCGGGGGGAGAGGGGGCCTCAGGGGCACGTCCAGTGTCTGGAGTGGGGAATTGGGGGGGCGGAACTCATGCGGGTCCAGTTGAAGGAAGACATGGATGTCGGTAGATAAAAGATTTGGAGTATAGCTTCTGCATACCCCCTATAGGAGTCAAAAGATCATATTTGGCACCACCGAAGTAGAAATTCCTGGACCCGGGTCACCTAGATTCTAGATCAGTATTATGTAGCTTCTGACACAACAAGTAGACCCACCTGATTATGTGTTTATACACGTGTGTGTTCCATGTGTTGTTGCTCCATGTGTATTCTTATTTCATCGATATTTACTTCGTCTTTTGGGTGTCCCCAGTTGGAGCTCCAGTGACGCCGAGTTTCGTCGACCGTCCACATTGCACATCGTTAAAATACAGACCGTCCCACTTGGCCCAGACGAAGATTCCCAGCTTCTTCAAGATGCGGGGCACCAAGGAGGGGCTCCTTGGATGCGTTTTCTTTTGATTGTCGTTTTTTGTGCGAAGTGATGTTGCAGAGTGCATTCCCTTTGTTTTTTCGTCGGGTTGAAAAAACAGGTCCAGTTTTGGGGGGACGAGGCACTTAGCGGTTTCAAAAAAGAAGTGCTTTGCATTTCTTCTCCACATGTTTTTCAAGGGTCCTTATTATAGACGATAGCATCGTCATATAGCTTCCAAAAACTACCGGCCTGCCAGGTCATCTGTTTGCTTCGACCGACCTGTCTTCGGGCCCCAAGACCCAATTCCAAATCCACACTCCGACTCACCAACATGGAAGTGGAGTGCACCCCCTGTTCGTGCTTTCCTTGCAGCCTTGAAAGGCTTGCAAGGGACCATGCCATCCACGCAACCATGTGATGTGTTCGTCAGAGTGTACCCCAGACACCCAGACACTCCATATCTAGAAGATGTGCAGTCCCATGGACCCCCCCCAAACACCCACCACCTTTGTGGCCTTTTCTCGGCAGTCCTATGGCAGTCCCAGTTGGGGTCACTGTACCCCAGAAGTTGGATGGGATATGGTGTATCCGAATATTATTGGTCGGTGTACCCGTGTACCCCCACTCCATTATGGTCAGAGTGTCCAATGCGTCGGAGTTGGGACGTTCGCCTTCGGCCCTAAAAAACCTGTGTCGTCGACCGCCTGGTGTTGCATGTTACAGTGGTTTCAGAGTAGGTGTGGCAAACCCAAGTAGATGGGTCTTTTTGAACCGCCGACATTGGAGATTGACCATAATATATATATATATATATATTAAATTATATATATAGAAACAGACAACGAAACTACCAAAAAGCACAGAAAAAGATCAATCCCGTTCGTCTTGTTGGATTGCAGTTGTTCATGTTTCCTTTTTGAATTGTGCGGGGCTTGCTCTGAAACCACTGTAGGTCGCTTCCCGGTGACTCGAAGCACTGTGCCCAAAAATCCTGCCAGGGTCCACGCACCTGCCGATGTGTTTGGAGTGAAAACACCATGAATCAACCGGGTGACCCTCCAAAGTAACCTGGAACATGTAAAAAATGTACTCTTTAAAAACGAGGTTCAGACTTCAGGATGACCAGATTTCACTGGGAGCTGCTGGGATTCCACTTTTGAGATAGCCCTTGACATGTCCCAGTTGCTCATTAGTTCAGATGGTCGGTCTGACTAATTGGATGACCCGAGTCCAGGAGTTTCCTGAACACTTCAGTTGTGCCACGGACCTGCATTCTCACTGGACTGCGACCTGCATTCTCAGCGCCAGGTCACCTGCTTGGTTCGACCTGGTGTGTTTAGTTTGACCCATCCCTGGAGCAGACCTGGCAGGTTTCGGATGTATATGGCTGTGGGTCAAAACCGAGCCCCAAATCATCCTGGTCAGTTGACCTCTCGAACATGCAGGAATCTGTTCAGAACTGATCCGCGGTCAATCGGTCCCACCCACCGCCATATACCAGCACCGACTCTACAGGTCTCCGAAATGGAGGGTTGTTAGGCCCTATGTAACAGGTTTCAATTGGTGACCTGTTGGAGGTGCTGGTCTTGAGCAAGGCCTGCAACCTAACCATCATCATCCACTGGGCCCTGGTAGACTCGGATAGACCCGTACCGTACAGGCACGCCCACAAACCGTCCTGGACGGCTCTAACTGGCCCAGGAACTCTGTGCCGCAATTGGAGCGTCACATCATGCAGGAGTCGGGGGCGCGGTCGACGGAGGATTCGGGGGCACGGAAGACGGAAGTTTTGGAAAGTTCTTTGGTCGCCCAGCCATGGATTTCATAAGTTTTACACCAGCTGCTTTTTTTAATTAGGGATTTTGCACTGCAACACCAGCTCGTTCCCGAACTCTTCTCATGGCCTATTCTCGTTTTTCCCCAAACAGTGTGTCCACACTGAGGGGTTTTTACGGTAAGTGTAAAAGCCCGGGATCGATCAGGGTACGCTCTCTGGGCCCGCGCGTTGTCGCTGCGCAGGCTTTCAGAAAAGTTCCGCTCTGAGATTTCCAAGTGCAATTTCTTTGCGCAGGGTCGCGCGAAACGCTGGCCCCGGGACGGTGCTTGATGGAGGTACGCTCTCGTTGTGGTGCTATGCGCATTTTTGGACTTGGTGATCACTTTTCGTAGCAGGCGCAAGGGACACCTCGTGTTTTGGTGGTCCAAAGTCGACCTTTCGTGACAGGTGCAGGAGATCGGAGCAATTTGATGTCGATGTACAGATTTTGTGGCAGGTGCAGTACTTTGGACATGGTGGTGGTCTTAGGCATGCGCTGATTTCCTGGCAGGTGTAGTGACTTGTGACTTTTGGACATGTGGCTCGTTTTCAGAAATCGTGGCCGGTGCAGTGCTTTGTGGACCTTGAAGGGCAGATTTCGTTGCAGGTGCAGTACTTCGTGGACCTTGAAGTGCACTTTGTGGATCTTGAAGTGCAAATTTCGTGGCCTGTGCAGTACTTTGTGGACCTTTCCCAGCTCGCAAACCCCCATCCACCACCATCACCAGCCACCATCATCACCACCACCTTCGTCACCACCATCAGCTCTCTGGACCCCAACGCTCTAGACATCCTATTGACCTCTAACGCACCTGTTTGGGGTCTCTTGCAGGGATTATTTTTTTGCGAACGGGGTTTGAAGTCTCATACAAGTGAGACCAGGTCATGCCTGTGCTCGATGTGGCTGAACTGCATGAAGCCCTGCAGTTACCCTGCTTTCAACAAGGTATGCTCTTGACAATGAAAGCGAAGAAAAAAAAGAGAACTGAGAGGGCTCTGGTGCAGAGCGCCAAGCACCTGCTCCCATGCTGGAGCGGGCCCGATTTTGATGCTTTGACAGATATCCTGTCACCTTTCATTCAACCTCTCAGCAAGGCACAGGTTCATGTCAAGTCGGCAGGCCATGAGCCCCAGGCACGCCCAA